TAACAATTGTGTATACGGAATAGGATGGGTATATGAATATAAATCAAAATTGTTATGCAAGATTGGAGGCTGGATTTAATTTTGTTGATTGGCATAAAAATTCCAATTGAAACCTAAAATAGGAGATATTTATACATAATATAATTAATTGAAACTAATGCTGAGTGAAGTGCAAATTTAGAGGGAGGGACAGTCCCTGTGCTTGTTTCTATATTGACATGTTTGTACATTTTCTATATTGGGACTTGTAGTAAAAATATAAAAAGATTTTTTGTTTACAAAGTTGTCTGATTTATTAGATGTCAATCCAGAAGATATTGGAAACTCGTGTGAAGACAGGTTTCCACTTTAGGGTTTAGTTTTATTGTACCTTACTCTGGTGTGTAGCCATTTTGAATATAAAAATACCTTAAAATCTCAAAATTTGGAGGAGAAATTACAACAATTTTGTATCAGTCAGAATACTTTACAGTGACATTCAAAAACAGTTTTTCTCCTCAAATTACCATCGTGACAATTTAATGGTTTGTTGAAATCATTCATTTGTGGATTATATCATAGTATAGGCAGAGTCGGCTGTTCAGGTCTACCAGCATCTGTGATCCTGCATAGATAAATCCTTCCTGTCATACTTATCAATGAAATTGTAGACAAAATATTCATTCATTCATTTTGGTAACAGGTGATCTAGCACAGTAAGCTACTTCATTTTTGTGAGGCAATTTTTTGTAAAATTTGTGATTTGGGGGACAGAATATAAAAATTTGACAAACATGGTTTGGTGATGGCTGATTTTGATAAAAAGTAACTGTATCTCATCACCATATTTTGACATAGATAAGTTCAAAATCAAATTATTTGAAAATCGCAAATTCATTGTTCTTCCCAGAAAATTGTCTCAAGACTTGTGGCTAATTTGCATACTAATTGACAAAATGTACAGTTGTACTTGATGTGTCAAATGCGCAATCTTTGTGGCTAATTTGCATATTAATGTGGTCTAATTTTCATATGTAAATAATTGCACTGTCTTTTTAAAAGTTCAAGCATGACGTTAACCATAGGTAAACTTTTAAAAGCCTGGGGGAGGAATACTGCACACTCACTTTGGGAATAACGCTACTAAGATGACAGTAGATATTTCTTGTATGTTTTAATGTCTATAACAATGTCAGTCATATGGGAAATATTGATGTTGCAGATTTTAGTAAGTCTTGTGAATTATGCTTTTCGTATCCATAGTGCAGCATCTCTGGCTCAGCTCAATAATTGTGCATTGCTGTACAGTGTGCCGCTGCATGTTGATTAGTTAATAGAACTTAGTTTGGTTTAAACATGGAACTATAAACCCCAGGAAGAACAACCACTTCGTTTCCTTTGAACTATGATAGTTGCCGCGATGTCGAATGTTTATTTTGACTGTTTATTTTGTCGCATTAAAAAATAAGCCGATTTACGCAAATGAACGTTTATCTCCGACTATCGGTCATTTTCGGAGTCAATCGGACGACTCCGGGAGATCACGTGACCGAGTTGTTCCGGTTATAGCATAAAAAACAATGGCGCCAAGACAAAAACACTGATAAATGATCGACATTCAACGGGAAAAAAAAACACATTGCCACTTCTGGCGATCGAAGGGAAACACGGAATTAGTCGGGATATCTCAACAACAAACAGCTTACCAAACCCCATGTTTCACAAACTTTCGCTACCTTATTTTTTCGAGGGTTGAAAAAAACAAGAAGTAATCTAAAAACGACATTAAAAATTATGAAAACTCGCTAAAACTCCGACCCGTTGCATGATTTCCGGTACACTGAAGGTCACCCTGCAGACCGACTTGTTTGCGCATGCGTAGTGAACGAAATATTTTACTGCGCAGATATGAAATTTTTTTTTTCAAGTTTTCCGTTTCCAGCAAAGCGGTTGAAACTGGCGTATCGGCGGCAACTAACATGGAGTATGACTAATGTCGTGGAAACAAAAGCGAAAGCACTGTAAGATAAACTAAGACAAAGGTTTTTTTAATCCTTAGTTTCGTTGTTCTTCCTGGGGTTTATAGTTCCATGGTTTAAAGTATAACCAGTGCAGTGGCCTCTCAATAGAAGAACCTTTTGGACATGCTGAACAATTTGGCGTAAATTTACCACCCATCCAGCCTGTATGTATGTTATACGGTGCAATGTGAGAAGTTTCATGAATGTTAAATTAAGTACTAGTACATTTTATCCCCTGATAACTGCCAAGCTGGCAGTTTATGCTGTACCAGCCTGAGAGCTTATTGCCAGCCAGCCAGCCGGCCTGTCTGTTTAGAACACCCACATCCTTTTGATTGCTGGTAGTAAATTCGCACAGATAAAAATATCAGTCTAAGCAGACATTTGAGAAATAAGACAGATCTGTTTGACCTTATTAGTAGTATAAATTTTGAAATTTGTTTTTGATTAGTGAAACAAATAGTGTGGACACAAAACCTCATCACCACAAATAATGCTTCTAAAACAACCCGTTGAATCAGTGTCTCTTATGTAGTAGTAGTAGTAGTAACATCATATAAGGGTTAGGAATTAAACATTTTTTTTATCGCTAATTCTTCATTGGCACCCACTTATTTTTTAGAATAGCATGTCCCTCACTGACTTTACAAAATTTGTCTTGTATTTAAACTTTAAAGCAATAAAGGTCATCTTTATTGTCATTACATAAACATTGTCATCTTCATTACATAAACTTAAAACCTGAAAGGTTTTTTAGACCCAAACAATTCTTTTACAAACAATTTGAATCATCCAAGAAAAATCATAAAATAAATGGAGAATAGTGCTTCTGTTATTTGGCTTGAAAAAGTGCACGTAATTTCTAGGAATTGGAGTATGCAAATGATTCATGATTAATTGTTTGACTGTTTTGTAATGTACTTGCGGAAACAATTTTATGGCCTTTTGGATATAATTTCACAACAAATGTACTTGCAGAACTAAAATGTCAAAAGGAAGCGGCAAGAATCTCCTTCCTCTGACAGCTTCCCCTTTAATTGTTTTCTGCTCGAAATTTTCTTGATTTGATGATTTGGTAAAAGTTGTCTTCATCCATTCATCCAGAGTAGTAATCGCTGAGCTTCAACTTCAGTATTCTGAGGGCACTTTGTTGTTAACTGGTTAGTGTTAACACTTGGTTTAAATTCAAATCCTACCTATTCATTTTTGGCTTCTTGAATTGTGAACCCGTATAATTATCAGTAATTGTGACTAATCAATTAAACCTTATTCACTTGTATATGCACCAATGCTGCATAAATACAGTAAAATATTTTGCAAACCAGTAAGATATCTGTGATTATCAATTTCAGCAACATTAATGGTCACTTACCAAAATCAGACATCCAAGCGGTATAAAATGTTGGCATTTTTGTCCAATGTTAACATTTATGATAAACATAATGTGGTGTTCGATTGATTTGAGTATAGATGGGTATCACAAGTACACTGAATAAAGTCATTTATCCCCAACATGAAATATCATGTAAATATACTTGAATATTGTGTAAAAATAGGTAATATTTTCTTTCCGAGAGACGTGTTTCTTGATGACATTTTGTGATTTATGTATACATAGATGGAAAAGGTCGTATAGGCAGTTGAAGCATTTGCTATTTGAATTTGTGAACTTGGTAGTAAATGCTAAATGAAAGTCATCGACCCATCTAATAAGAAAATCAGTAATATTTATATTCTTCTCTGTAACTACTCTTCTGTGCTCAAGAGTGTCATCAATAGTTTTCTAAGAGCGATCTTAAGGTTATTTGGATATTGTTGCTAAGCAACGCTGATTTGAAAAATATTTTCCGCTCTGCTATTCAGATAAGTGTGAGCTGTATAGTAACTGAACTGAATGGCTTCGTTTTATTGATCTATTTCTATAAAAATGCTTTCTTGTCAATGGAATTGTGAGTTGAATTATCAACAGTATCTTCTATGCAATCTGCTTACTAATTATTCCTGAAATATTACTTAGAAGTGAAAATTGGGTGTGTGCGCCTTTTCACTGATTTTGTGATTTGGAGCTTGTGAAAATGTTTATTCTTCAGTAGAAATTAGTGAATAAGCACATATAAAAGAATCATCATGGAGACACGAAAGGATGGTTCTACTTATTTGCCTCAAATTTCTTCAAAAAATACATATATTCCCTTTATTATTCCTATATTCTTTTATCATATTTGGCCTTGAAATTATTTGCCTTCATGGTAATAAAGTCAAACCTGTGTATAGTAAGCATCCAAGAAATTGATTGATGCGGTCTTGACACAGATTTGACTGTATTGTATAATAAATGATACAAGTGGATAGATTTTATAGCTCATAACCAAAAGTTGCATGTCATCAGGTCCAACATTTTAAATCACCAAATTATCTGTTGGCTGGTGAGTGGGAATAATACATGCATCATGCATGCCTTCTTGCCTGTTAACAATATATTCTATTGCATTTCCTCCTTCAGAGATACATTTCATAATGGTTTATAGAGCAAGAGTCCGATTTTGTATGGCTGAGTGAGAGAGAGTGTGTATATGCAGTGTTTGTTTTTTGTCCTCGCCCAAATAATCATGTCTGTGTTTGAAGCTGATGTTAATATTTCATATTGTTTTTGTCTTGTCAGGATGCCAGGAAAACAGCAGGAGACACCACATTGACTCAAGTAACAGCAAATATGGAGCCAGTAGGCCGAATCCAAATGAGAACACGTCGCACACTTAGAGGACACCTTGCCAAGATTTATGCCATGCACTGGGGGTCAGATTCCAGGTGAGTTGATTATTCCTTTAGAATGCTTGCAATCTGCGTATGTCTTGGTACATGTAGGGCATCAGTATCAGGCATGGTGGTGAAGGGTCCATCTTGTGTACATTATCAGTCAGTCTATCCTCTATTTTGTGGTAAATGTAACATCCTGCATGGCTTCCACCAAATATTGTTCAGCGTTTCATCTACGAAGGGCAACATTTTTGCTCCTTCCTAGAAGAATTCTATGACTTGCTTGGTGGCTATGTCATAGGGTTGTTTAATTGGTAGTGGTGTGATCCCTGCCTATTCGTTGTAGCATAACTGCATACTGCATGAAAGAGAGCATAGCAAGTCATCATTTGTATGAAAATTATGTTTGGGAATAAAGAATGTGTTTGTCATTCACTCACTAAATATCTTCATCTTGTATTCATACATGTGTTTGCAAGTAGGCTTGTTTTATTTTATTTTACTATTATATTTTTTTTCTGTAACATAACAGAGAATTTGTTTCCTAGACAGCTATATTTTTTGTTTACTAGATTCCTTGTGAAATCTGTACGATTGTTTTTTTTTTTAAA